TCTAGCCACTTTCCAGGAGCATCCAAATGTTTCATTAGGAGCCTTTCAGCCATCACTAGATCCTGCAGTAGAACCAAACAGTTTCATCTATCTCAAGCACACTTGCAATTCACAATATACTAGCATCTTATATAAATATTAGACAGCAGAATCCAATAACGCTAACCTGGATCTTTTGGCCAAGATACTCCAGTCGCTCTAAACAAAACCTAGGATGTTCAAACTTGTATTTTGATGGGTGCAGGAAACATAGCTGCAATAATTTTAAATATATCAGAAGAAGAGATCAAAGTTTAGCAGCAGTTCCCCATTTGATGAGAAGATAGCTTGACAATTTGACATCAATAGATAGAATTTTCTAAATGAGCATCAGTTAAGCTCAGTAGCAAAACATATAACAGGAAGGACTAACATTACAAGTTAGTTGGGCTCAAGTCATCCAAATTTTGTTTTTAACTTGACGACAAAGTTCTATTTCATCCTAAAAACAAGAATTTGTGGCATTTGCCAGCATACTGGACTTATATTCAAAATTTATGTCGAACACTTGAAAAGAAGAAGGCACTCAATGCACCATAGTCCCAAAAAAAAATGAAATTTGGAAATATACCTGCAGCCCAAGTCCAAGCTCAATATTCCTAGCTTCAGTGATCTCTGGGAGTCTATCATTCATCCGCAAAGGATAACCTAGTGTTCTCATAACTTGGGGTCTGCTATCAAAATCCCATATGTTTCCTCGGAACCGATGCATGCCTGGGGGCACACAAGCTCTAAAAACCCTTGGATGCGCAAAAAGAGCATCCTCTGGAGGCTGTCAGCAGCAAGAAGTTTAAAAATAAATTAGTAGCAAACAAACAGATAATTATCCAAACTTCTTACCCTGATAGCTAAATCTAAGTAACTTTAGTGACTTCTTAGCTAAGTATGTCAAAATTCCACAGGAGCAAAAGGGTAATGGCTTACCCTATATGTGGCTACATCTTGCCAGCTGAGTTTTCTGCCATCAAATTCTGCAGAAACATAATCAACATCCTCAAGCTGCCTTCTTTTCTTTGGCTGGCAATCCTCATCTTCTGGGTCCATCCCAAACACTTCAAAAAGTACACGATAAACTTCTGGCATCCCATAACACAAGTATATAGCTCCAAACAGAGCCCAAAACACAGACCTGTAAAAAGATCATGAGTTTAATACTTAATATATCAATGAAACATCCAGTGATCAACAGTCACATACAAAATACTTCGTAATATCAAACAGGAACACTATAATCTAATTTATACAAGGACCATAAATGTGTAGGTGCTTTTCCAACTTCCACTGAAAGACTGAAACTGTGCAAATTAAATGTTATTCTTCAAAGGAAATTATGCCTTTCCAAACAAAACAGATCAACATCCCAAATGCCAGCTCCAGAGAGAAACGAAATGAACGATAATGTCACAAGCTCCTTAATTCATTTAATGAGCTAAAGCCCACTGGGAACTAAAATGAACTCAGGCAAGTATGTTATTTTTTATTATGAATCCATCAAACCAAGTGCACCATGGAGGCATGGAGTCATCAACGATGATTTAAACAAGTTGGTTGGTGATAGGCGACATACAAAAAAACACCTCACATACAGAAAGGGTGAAAGGCTCCTATTTTCTACCCATCATAGGGTCTCACCTTTTCAGAGAATTATCCTGTCCTTCGAACATCATAGTAGCTACAGTCATAGTTAAAGGCCTTAAACACAACAGATAAAAGTTATACTCTTGGACCAAACCCTGATGCGGCAAGGGAAGAAACGCACACTGCCTCACATATTTCTTTCTGTCTTTTGGTTATAAGAGGGGCCGAATCGATGGAGAGTGAAGGAAAAGATCTTAATAACTAGAGATATTAACGAGCTACAGTAAGCATAAGTATCACCTATCCACTAACTACTAAAGTTATTTTCAGCTTCAAATTCACCTATCCCAAACAAAAATGATTTCCTTGAAACTAAACAACACATTCGTAAACCATAATTTCTTTCATTAGAATTCCTTCAAGGGCATGCTTGGATTGGGGGTAATATATTAAGGGGGTAATAAAAGTCAAACTTGAAAAAACACAAGTAATTAAAGGTGTTGTTGTAGGAGGTGTGGTGTTTACAAATGAAATATGGTAGTTGTTCCATGAGGAAAAGAGAGATGGAGGAATTATTACCCTCACACCCTCCCCTAGTGTAACTATTACCCCCAAAATGAGCCTCTTTCTTCACCTCATATCTCACCATCACCACATAATTGTCTTACAAGCACACCATCACTATCTCCTCCTTCCCTATTTACTTTCATTTTGCTTAGTTTGACTTTTATTACTCTAGTAATACATTTCCCTCGATCCAAGCATGCCCCAAATGGAATTATGCTTCTATATGAGTGCAACGAGAGCCATATCTCAAACCCTAATAACCCTATAACAAGTAATCGTTCTTCGTACAAGTATATCATACCATACCAAATATCAATGCATTCTTCATATGCTTAGCCAATGTTGCCAAATCATAAAACCCATTTCTTTCATTTACGCAACCAGCAACAATAATATGAATCAAAACAACTAAAAATAAAAAAAATAAAAAAAAAAAGCCACAAAAACAAGCAGAAACCGGAACTTACTTCGAAGCCGGCTCTCTCTCATGGCGCCTCAACTTATCAATATCATCAAAGGGGAAGACCAAATTATGCAAACTAGCAGCCTTAATCCATTTAGGCAAGTACCTCTTCCCAATCAAAGCAAACACCCTCTCCCTCATCGGCCCCGGCGACTCCCGGGGATACCTCTGCAAGAAGAACTCGCACAAAGCCAATTCTAGCACATATTGCCCTAAAAACATCAACCTAGCATGCCCATGTTTCACATGTCTAGCATTCACCCTAGAACAAGAAACATAATAAGGGTGCTGAAATGCTAAATACAACAAAGTATCAAACTGTTTAGCAGGATTATCATCCCCTAAATTATCAGAAGGTTCTAAAGGGTACCCTAAAGCTTGCTTAACCTCAAGTAAATACTCATCAATCCAAGTTTTATCGGCATTGTTAAGCTTCGAAGAGGGTAAACAAGAGCTTAATAAAGGGAATTGTTTAAGGGACATTTGAGGGCTATCTAAGAATCTCTGAGCTAATTTAGCATCATCTAATGGAGGTTTAAGGATGTATTTTCTAGGGGGTGCTTTTGTTTTTGGGGTTATTACCTTTTTACGCTCAGCTAACTCTTTCAGGAGTCTTTGAGGGCTGGTTTTAGGGAGTTCTTGAGAATCCATAGCTGAAACAGCGAGAATTCGGCGATGGCGGAAAATGGGTTGGGGTTTTTTGAGTGGGATTTGGAGAGAGAAAGATGGGAAAGAAGATGAGAAGGAAAGATCCCCGCATTTTGAGAAATGGGGTGTTTTAATGGTGGATGAGAGGTCCATTGGTAGAACTGGGGAAGAGTGTTAAGGAGCTGTGAGTTGTTTTAATGGTGATTGTTTTGAGGTCTTTAATGGCGGATTTGAATTGACGCCATTGATGTGAGGAGAGAGAAAATTGGGGGGTTTTTAGAGGGTTTTAGGAAGAAATGTGAAATTTGGGAAGTTGAGGATAAGGTGGATTGATTGACAGAATAATCGCTTCAATGGCAAATGGGATTCTGAGAAAGATGGATAAAAGTATGGGAGTAGTGTAAGATTGTTTTGTTTATTGGGCCTAATTGAAATTTTAGTTTGTTGCAAAGTTTGGCATAAGGCCCAATTGTTTAACTTGAATTCTTGAAAGTTGAAACAATTTGCAAATATTCTGATTTTTTGAATGAGTCATGATTCTCATGAACACAAATAATGTACTAGTAGATAAGATACTTCGTATAATGTTTGATTTTGATGGTCACCCTTAAGGTTTTAATTAATCAATCTAGTTGGTATTTACATTTTCCAAAATAAAGTGATGTGTGTATTACTATTGTACTACTCATTTTAAGTAAATATACTAAATAGTAGGCCTGACAAACCTGACTTGGCCCGATCCGATTGACCCGACTCGAATGACTCGACCCGTAACCCAAAAATTGACCCAGATTCGAACTAACCGGACCTGAACACGATCCGAAGTGGAGTTGACCCGAACGTGACCCGATGTCTAAAATTGACCCCAAAACCCGAAGTGACCCAACTCAAAATGACCCGACCCGAAGTGACTTGATAAGTACTCGTTTTTTTTTTTTTTTTTTTGGTGTTTTTTTAATGAAATTTAATTTAGTTTCTAATTATTATATTAAAGTTACTACTATTATTGAAATAAGAGGTAATTTTCCCACAATTTTTTTTAAGTGAATTTAATTCTGGCGACATGACCCGAATTTAACCCGACTCGAACTGATCCGACCCAAACTAACCCGACCCAAACTTGACCCGAAAACTAGTCTTGAAAATTGACTCGACCTAACCTGAACTGACATGACCCAAATTGACCTGACTCGAACTCAACTTGAAGTGTTGACCCAAAATTGACTCGGAAACCCGAATTGATCCGATCCGACCTGAATATTTGCTGACTCGAAAGCAACCCAACCCAAAATGACCCAAACGACGTGTTTGCCAGATTTACTAAATAGTGTGTACTCCGTAAAAGATTCATGCCTGATAAGTGATTGATAGTAAAGCAACTATAGAAATTAATTTGTAAATTAAGTATAGAGAGCCATAAATAGTAACTCAAAAATGAAATTGAGGTCTTAATATTATAGTTCTTAATGGTAGAGCCGAGCAAGTTTTGTCAATTCTCCACAATGGTCTTTCTATCTCTTTCCTCTCTTAAAGTACCCTTCATTCTCGCCCCATCAAGAAAGTATTATGAAACAAGCATAGAAGGAAAATGTTTCGACTATTAAAACAGAGAAATTTAGATAAACTTGTTTTTTTTAAAGGTGATCATCAATGGCTCGACCCAAAACAATGTGCATTTGGCCCAAAAAAAATACTTTAGCCTGACAAGCCCGCTACTTTTTACAGACCCGATCCAATCCGAATCTTGATGACATTCTCCCCTAACCCCTTCATTTTCCTTCTTCACACTTCCCTAGCTCCCCCTCCCCTCGCGTTCTTTTCATAATTGCTATCCAAACATAGCGTAACGAACTATCGTGCATTCGTGCCTAGATATACGAAATTGAGCCAAGGCGGTCTTGGCGGCAGTTCATAGTCAATACTCAACAGAGTTAATGGATAATCTTCAAATCAAACACTGTTTGTGAGGAGGAGATTTGTGGCTTTCCAATGATTTTGGTGCATTCCTAATCAATCCGCAATAAATGCCCTTCTCAGTTGAAATCTTAAATGGTATGAAACCGCATTTCTTTTCTTATTGTTTGTTATCTCTCTGATGATTCACACTCATATTTTATGCTAATCTAATTCTACTTTGGATGAATTTGTATATATTTTTTTCTAGTCAAAATGTCGTAGATTAGAGATAAATTGATTATGTTATGATATAATCACCTGTTACCTGCATTTCGTTGTTTTATTGAGGAAATTCACTGTATTAATTTTGATGCGTAAACCTAATTGTACTTAGAAGGGGAGTGACTAGTAATGAACAAACCTAACCTTTCTTGATTATGATTGAACTGGGGCGAAAGCTAACCTAACCTTTGCAGATGTATAAATTAATATTATGAGGCAGAATCTTAACATCATTTTGTCCCTCCAATTACAAATTCACTAGAATAGTTCTCCCTGAATAAGTAGGCGATGATCTAGTGGCGTGATTATGAAAATCGCCCCTTGAGGTTGGGTTTGAATTTTCTAAGACTAATATGCATCACTTCAGATCACAGAAGTTTTGTATAGACCTTTGGTTAAGCTAGAATGGTGTGGTGTGTGTGGGGTACTTACTAGGGTTGTGTTTTCTTACCTTTTCGACAATTATCCTTACTAATAACTGCCTGAATAACTAAGAGATGATCAATGATCATGAAAATTGCCCCACTCCAGGGTTTGATTTTTGAATAGACTGTATACTACCTCCGTTTCATATTTTTTGCAACTTTGGGGTATTATTTGTGAGATATAAAATATTCCAAAGTTGCAAAAAATATGAAACGGAGGTAGTATATACTATGTTTCACTTCAGATCATAAAGAAGCTTTGTAGACCCTTGGTTGAACTAGAAATATGTGTGTGTATGTTTGTGAGCGTGAATGTGCGTTTGGTGGGGTGGGGGGGGGTTGGGGGGTTTTCTGATTTTTTTTCTACTTTTTTGATTAATAGGCTTTGCTAGGGTTTTCTTACTTTTTCTTGGTGGCTAAAGTGAAGGAGAGATCCTTTCATACTATAACTTTAAACTGATGGACGTCAATAATACAAAGTACTTCCTAAAATTGGTTATGAGATGACTAGGGAGGTTGCATCATTTCTACTAATTTCTTTGCAGAAAAGAAAAGGTTTATGAGATTTGGGTAGATGTTGAGGTATTTTGTGACTTGTGAGGAAATTGCATAGCTATACGATAAAGAAATTGTTATAGATTATGGGGATATGAACTCATTGTAGACCACAGTTTGTTTAATATCTATTCGAATGTTGTAGATGCTAAATTTAAGCGAGAAATCCTCCCATAAAGATATAGTAGGAGCAGACAATCTATAAAAAGTGTAAAATAATATTGTGCTGACTATAATGAGATTTAGGATGAGTTCTATAGGTATTGTTTTTGGGGAGAGGTGAAATTTGTGGGATATGGTGTGATTTGACCACTATATACAAGAATCTCAACCAAGAATGATTTATAACACTATAACATGTACATAATTGCATAAGTGGACTGTGAACTGTGTCAAACTGCGAGAATAACCTGTGTCTCTTACTGTCCATGCCTGAGACTTGTTTCTTTGTGTCCACAATCAAGAATGAATCCTTTTTGAGACCATTATATAGGAACCATGATAGATATATATCACAAATTCACAACGGTCATTTTTCTTATTTTTTTGAAAATTTCTAAATCCCAATAGAAGTGGGGCTGGCCTAAATTTTGTCTGCAGTTTGGCGATGGTTTGACAATTACTAGGGCTTATACAGAAAAGGAGGGTGTGTGTGACTGTGTGGGCATGGGCCCTAATGTGTTCTGAAAAATCTGCAATGATTGCTGTTGGTCTGTAATTTGTTAATCATGCGTAACAGATATGTAAAAGTCCGCTAGTGGGTTTCCCGCTGCTAGTCCCAAGCCTGGATAAAGGAGAAGAGTTACGGTAGACCAGTGACATGAGCTACAATGATTGAGAGTAGTACTAGGATGGGTGACCTCCTGAGAAGCCCTCATGTTGGTTCATGTAGCCGACCCCACTTATGGGATTAAGGCGTTCAAGAAGAAGAAGAAAAACAAGAGAAGATGCATAACAGATATGTGCTTGATTTATTCATTGCAAAATTTGCCTTAATCATAGAGACATTCTTGCTACTAGTACAACATTGTAAAATTTAATAGTGAATCCTGTTATTCAGCTATATAGTAAAATGAAAAGGTAATGTAACTATAAAATGGTAATCTTGTGTAGTTATTACTCAGGATGCTAGCTTGGTTCTATGTTTATGGAGGCTATAAGGGTTGGCTTTACAGATATCAGTATTTTGATTCTTCTCTTCTTATGCTATGTCTTGTCTGATGTGTGTTAAAAAGCTAGGAGTACATGAGGTCTTGCCAATGTCTAGAGGCCATAAGTATTAATTTTTGAGCTGTATGTTCGTCTTTATGTGGTAAATTAAAAAATCCAAGTTGATTGATGGACATAGAATTTATTTAGTTAGCATTGTAAGATTTCTCAATCAATCTCAACAAACAAGTTGCCAGTCAGAGCGTGCTGGATATCTGGATGTGGTAAAAAAAATTATTTTATAACTAAAGCTGGTTTCATCCTGTTTGTATGTATTGTCTTTAGCCACTAGCAGTTCTAACTTATACAACTTATCTTTGGACGGTGGCATACTGGCATGGTGCCAAAATTCCAATTTCTAGGGATTCAAACTGGCTATTTGATTATAGATGCAAAATGTTGTATCTTACATATCTATACTCTTGTTTTATAGGCTAGAGCTTAAATCTTACTTCGTATGTATCACCCATCCCCTTACTTTATCCTGGGGAAAAAACTTCTTGAGGCATATTGGGGTTGTGGTAATGTTGATGTTGTTATTATTCAATTTGGTTACTCTCTTAAATTTTCACAGATGGGGATCACAGATCCAACCTCTTTCACATTTAACATTATATAAGTAAGACATGTTATCCTCAGCACCAAACAATGTAGTGAGGCCTTGCCAAAGTAGTGCTTTGGCAGGGTAAGATGTATTTCTTCACAGTTCACACAGAAGCTTCTTTGTGCATAGAACGATATGTGATGCTGATGGTATGCATGTCTAGGCATGTAAAATTGCTGCTTCTGAGTTCTGACTGATTCTTCTGAATTTTTTTCTTTTTTACTTTTGTTTGTTTGTTCCCCTCACCCCCCCCCCCCCTCTCCCTCTAGTTAGGGGCCTTTATCTTTCAGATGGGACTGGTAACACCTTGTGGTTTAACTTTTAAGTTGCCCACCTTTCATCTAATGTTGTGTTGGTAAATGACCCTTAAGCATCATCTTTTGCCTCATTCTTAGAATCAGAATCTTTTATAAAACAAAAATTGAAATATTAGCTGATGCTTTGAGCCACAAAGGACAAGATGATTAGAAGGCAGAACTGCAGAAGTTGTTGCCTCTACTAGTTTGTGATATTTACCAATGTATAAAAAAGCTGAAGCGATAAGGGTTATGCAGCGCCTAGGTGCGGCTCTTTGAAGTGAGGCACTATATAAACAGTTAAAAAAAAAATTGGCAGAAATTTGCTTCAGGTGTGCCTAATAAAAACGCCTCACCCAGGCCAAATTAAGCGCTTACCCTCTATCGCCTTGCGCCTCAGCGTAAGGCGCGCTTTTTCAAACACTGATATTTACCAATTCCAAAAGGCTCAATGTTCATGACAGGTGTTATTTGCCTTACAAATTCCTGCTTCACAACTGAAAGTGTAGTTGCATGATTATCATGTCAGAACTGTTTAATGCCTTTAAGCTACTCCAGTCATGATCCCTTCTCTCCTGTCAGTTGTGACATGAAATGCCTCTTGTCAATTGAAGTGCAGTTAAACATATGATTATTTGGTATCTATATGATTAATTATTATTAGCTTTAATCATCTTAAACATGCTGTTATTCCAACACCTCTATTTTGTCATCTTTGGCTGTCTTCTTCATTTATATGCCTTTTGTCTTAGTTGATAAATGACATTGGGTCTGTGAAGGGGAGGGAAAATATGATATTATGCACCAGTGGTTGAGCCTTCAATTTCATAACTTTTATGGAATAAGATAACACAAAATCAAACCTTTATGCATGTGGCCTTGTTTGTCTCAATAATTATAGATGTGTAGTTTCTGTATTGTTGTCTTTAACTGGATTTATATATTAGATTTGCTGGTAGGAAGTAAGAAAAGCTATTAGCTCTTTCTTTTTTTAATCTTCAACTGGTACTTTGGTAGCACTTCAGCTGCGTTGATTGGAGCTGTTGACAGTGTTGGATAAAAAACAATTTCTCAATCCTGAAAGTGTAGCCACTTGCTCTTGTAGCTACTTAGTGTGTGTTCTATTCACCTGATTTTCACTTAATTGAACTTATTAAAACTTATTTTAGTTGTAATTTGAACTTGGGTGCCCTTATCAAAACTTATTTTTCCTTAACTGAACTTGTCTGAACTTATTAAACCTGAAATAAGTGAAAATAGGCTCGTGTGGATCTTTACTGATTCTTTACTAGGTGTGAAGCATCCAATATGTTAGTGTAAAGATAGAGTAGGTAACTTACAGCTCAACAAAAGATATGTATCTGTATAATGCAATAACATCATTGTATTTTGAAGGACCCCATATATGTGCATGATATATTGATGTGATTTGACTTCAACAGAAATATTTTAAAGCTTCAACCCCCTCCCCCCCAATGGTTATTAACTTATTATAAGATTTATAACTGTAGTTGGTCCTCTATTTTACAGTATCAATGGTCGGTCCAGAAATATGATAGCCTCAAAATAGATTGTGAACCTCATCTTTTGGCACGAGTTGGCTATGGTATGATGTTTTCATAATACATGACTATTTCCTTTTTATTACTCCAAACAGCAGCTAGTTACTTGCCTCACATTGAACTGCTCCTTGTGTGTGTGTGTGTTGAGCGGCAAAGGATAGAAGGATGCAACTTCTTGTTATGTGTGGTTAGGCTTGAAAATGATGGCTTTGGGTGTTCCGATACAGATAGTAACAAAGTATTGACCCTGCATTATGCTATGGTGAATTGTTGATAGTTCTTCAATTTCAGGCAGAAAATCTCGCAGATAACATGTGCTGTCTTCCTTGTTGTCATGAAAGAAAAGTACTCTAATTTTATTTTTTTCTAGAAAAGTATACATGTTCATCGTCTGGTGTTGGTTTTCCTTGTGGGGCAACTTTTTGAATTGGGTCACCTACTGGTGTCTCCTTGATTTCTAAAATTGAAAATGAAATAAACTAAATAATTTTTTCTGGGAAAGTTTGCATGATTCTATCAATTATTAGTTCAAGTCTTCTAGAAAAGATTAAGCACTCTGCTCTTGACAGATCTGAGTCTTTTGTGGGGTATGTAAACAGTTACCATATCTGTTACAAAATTGATTGGATAATGCTTTTTTCCTCTGGCTTGCTAGGGATTATCAAGGCTGGTTAAGATCAAACAAGCCATTCGGTGGATGGATGTGGATAGCTGGATCATTAATCTGTAAGAATGTGGCAAATTTTTTATGCACCCGGGAGTACCCAAGATAGCGCTCCTGATTTGGCATGTGCAAATCATGCACGTGGCACGCGCGTAGAGGGGCTGTGTTTGTCATAATAGAGCAACATCCTGGGTACTTCAGGCTGCACCATATTCATGCTGGTAAAGCGTGATGGTTGTTTGTATCACTGCTTCAGCTAATTTTTTTTAGGCACAACTGAAATTATATAGACATACTACGTACATGATTTTTCAACAAGATTGTCTGAAGTTAATTGCAGTAGTTTGATTAGAAAAATTGCTTGTAAGAACAATATTATTCGTGTTTTGAATGCCGAAAATCAATTCCTGCACCTAGAAGTAAAAGGTTGTGTCTATTGCTAATTGTTACATGCTTTTCTGTAGTCTATCTATAGTTCTCCACTACTGTACAAGGCCAGTGTTAGTTGGTTGTTGTGTACATTTGAATTTGACATCCAAGCAAAATCCAATCCGTTGTGACCGTTTTTCTTTTATGGCGCGAAGAAATAAATGCTGATTGAGACACATTTTAAACCCTTCTCTCATGTATGTTAAAACCAACTACAACATTGAAATAATATCCTTTATGATGCCCTTTTTGGATTATAAATGAGTTTACAGGTAAGATGAAACTGAGTTTTTAATCTTGGCGTGCAAACGTTCTCCTAAACATCTTACCAACTAAGCTGCTTGACATTCACCCAATGGTAACATGAAATTACAACTAGCTACAAGTGATAACTTAGTATTTTCTTCAAAACTGATGATTAGGACAGGTAAACATGGGTACTTCTTGGATAGTTGGATTTGAGATGTTTCCCACATGGACAATCCAGCGAAACTTTAACTAGTGTTTTACATAATTACATATGAAGTACAAGGTCTATTTAGCCAAACACGCTATCTGATCCTATTTTGTTATCTTCCTCAGCTTACTACCACACATTTATGGAGAGATTTTGGAGGACATCCTTCATTTGACATATCTGTCCGTTTTCATTATCATGAATCCCTACCAAGATGTGACACTTTCTATGGTGGCTTTCATCCTCATACTCGAGACCCATTTGTGTAATTTCTTAGGTTCGATGATTGTGTATTGTCTTAATTATTTCTTTCCTTACATAATTCTTCATTGGAACTTGAGCTTCTACTGTCATTGAACAAAAATTCAGTGCAGGATTTTCATTGTGATAAAAAGATCAGGGTAGAAAACATAGTAGTACCCAGAAAAAAGGAAATAATATCAGTTTGATTGAGTGACTTTTTTCACCACAACTTTTTTTTTAGGGGGGTGAAGTTGAATCTACTGCTGCTTTTATGGCCTTATATTATGGCACTGTTCTGATGTAATTATGATAATAAAGGGTTTTGGTTTCAGTTTCCGATCCTTTTCATGATGGGACTTGATCAAGAAGAAGCTCCACTTACTACTGGTGACATGTCCTCTAAGAAGAAAGAGCTGCTGTCTTCAGCTATGAAGAGAACAAATGAATGGTTTGCCTCTCATCTCCTATTTATATATTTATGTTGATGCTTTAATTATTATAATATATATCACCGACTTTTTTTCCTAAAGATAGATGTATGTATCTTGAAAGTTAATCATAAAAATTAAATTATAATCATTAATACACAGGAGATTATTGATGTAACTTTTGTAGTTGCAGGATTATCTCTCAGGAAATTCCTAGTGATGTCACCATTCGTATAGGTGATGATTCCTTTTCTTTGCACAAGGTAATTTTCACTGTTATAGTTGAATAAAGGAAAATCTTATACAACAAAAACATCCATCTTCCTTTTTTTATAAATTTATTTTATTTGATGTGAAAAAAATGGCACTTAACATAAGCTTAGCTGAAGGTTTATATACCTTTTATGTTATGTGCAGTTCCCACTCCTGTCAAAATGTGGATACCTTAAGAAATTGGTATCAGAATCTAATGATTCTGATGTCTGCAACGTTGAAATTCGTGACATTCCGGGAGGAGCAGAAGCTTTCGAGCTTGCAGCAAAGTTCTGCTATGGGATTAATTTTGAGATAAGCACCGAAAACATTGCCATGCTTCGATGTGCGGCTGAGTATCTTGAAATGACAGAAGATTTTGCAGTAGAGAACCTTGTTCGAAGGACTGAGACGTACTTGAATGAAGTAGCATTAAAGAGCCTTTCTTCCTGTGTTTCAATTCTGCTTACATCAGAAAGCCTGCTACCTATGGCAGAGCAAGTAAAGGTAGTGAGTCGTTGTGTTGACGCTATAGCTTTTCTAGCCTGCAAGGATAGCCAATTCTCAGGGACCAACAGGATGGAAGGCGGCATTGAAGAAAGCAATTCTTCATTAGTTCCTCAGCAAAAACCTATCGTGGAGTTTTGGTGGGCAGAAGATTTAACTACACTTAGAATTGATATGTTTCAAAGGGTTCTGATAGCAATGACAGCTAGAGGATTTAAGCAATATGCTCTTGGTCCACTACTCATGCTCTATGCTCAAAAGTCTCTTAGAGGTTTGGTGAGATGCCCTCCTCAATTACTTTTTATTCATGTTTGATTTAGCTGATAAAATTCCTAACCTATGTTTTTGCATCTTCGGTTTCCACTTCTGTTATTTGATGGTATAAAATCAGAGAGTAGGGGAAAAACATTTACAATTTCCTGTCAATGGGGGAAACATTTTATATCAGTAGAGAATATGTTCCTTTCTGCCTTTCTGGTTCCGCTTTTCTTCATGCCCTGATTCTTCTTGATTCAGATTTGAGTAGTAAGTTATCTTCTTACGGTTGGAACAGTATTTTTAAATTTCCCCCTTGAATCCGTATATTTTGTTTTTAAAAAAAATGATAGCCTTGTCTAGACCTGGCAAATGGGTCATTCGGGTCGGGTAAGGGTCGGGTCAGCTAACATTCGGGCCATGTATGGGTCGGGTCAATTCGGATTTCGGGTCAATTTAGGTCAGGCATCGGGTCAATTTCGGGTCGGGTCAAGTATATTCGGGTCATATTCGGGTCAGGTCAAAATCTGGACGGGTCATGTTCGGGTTGTTTCATTTGTGAATCAAGCTCAAATGAATAATTTTATACGGAGTATATATATAGTTATTGTTATAATAAAAACTATCAATTTAGTTTATGAGCTTAGCTATGGTTGAAGATGAACAATTTGAGTTACTTTTGGCACAAGACATTTTAAATTCAATTATAAGGTAATTTTAGTTCGAGATTATTTCGGGTATCGGGTCTGTTCGGGTCAATTTTGGGTATCGGGTCTGTTCAGGTCAAACACTTTGGGACAATTTCGGGTCGAGTTAACTTCGGGCCGGGTCAGATCAAGTGTCGGGTCAGGATTGGGTCAACTCCATTTTCGGGTCGGGTATGGGTCGGGTCAATTTCGGGTCATGGGTCGGGTCATCAGGTCTAGGTTAGGATTTCCAGGTCTAGCCTTGTCCTATAAAACTTTTAATGTTAGGAATTTGTATTTGAGAAATACTTTGCACTCAACCAAAGGAACTAATCAATTTTCCACCCCCATACTAATTTTTTTTGACACAACTGAGTCATTATAGTAAACCACACAAGAATATTATGCTAGGCATTGTTTATGATAACTTCTCCTTATTTCTTGCATAACTTTACATAAGGTTATGATCTTGTGGAGCAGGAGGTGGTCGGTAAGGGGAGGAAGAAATTGGAGCCCAAGCAAGAACATGAAAAGAGGGTTGTCTTAGAGACTATAGTAAGCCTGCTTCCCAGGGAAAAAAATGTGCTATCAGTTAGTTTCCTGGCCACATTACTTCGTTCTTCAATATGGCTTGAGACAACAGTTGCTTGCCGCCTTGATTTGGAAAAGAGGATGGCCTTACAACTTGGTCAGGCAGCCTTAGATGACCTTTTGATACCTTCATATTGTTTCACTGGGGACACCTTGTTTGATGTGGATTCAGTGAGGAGGATCATGATGAACTTCCTTGAGAGCGAAATGGAGGGCAATCATCTGGGTTATGGTGCAGGGGAGGAACAGGTATTTCCTCCGTCTAATGACTTGGAAAGAGTGGGGAGATTGATGGAAAGTTACTTGGCTGAGATTGCCTCTGATCGAAATTTGACAGTTTCCAAATTTACTGGTCTAGCTGAGATCATTCCTGAACAAGCTCGAGTCACTGAGGATGGGATGTATAGAGCTATAGATATTTTCCTCAAGGTATGTTCTGTTTCATTTTGCAAATTCAGTATGATAACATCATCTACTTTATTGCTATTCATTCCACTGATCAAAGAGCTGCTAATTCGAATTAAAATACCTGCAAAGTTCGTGTTATCTTACTTCATTTATTGTTGCTTTTACTTCTTATTGCTTCATATTTCTTTCATCCTGAAATAACACGATATGTCATGTTTGAATTTAAGGTCAAATATATAAACACTGAATATTTTTATATCATTATCGCGTTATGTACCGTGTATCGACGCATTTAGGGATTGACCTGTTTTGTAGATCCCTGAGATCAGGTGTTCCTCCCTAAAATATAGTCCACGTATTCCAAGCCTCTATTCCTCGTCTACTTGAACAGTTGATAAAGAAATCATACACTCATCACCTTAAAATAGTTCTAGATTTTGCAAGTATGAATGAGAAAAAAATACCTTGATTATCTCAAAATTTGCACTAAAATAATGAACGGCCGTCCATAATATCATATTGCATTTGATGTATAAGGTTGAGATAAAAAACTCTGTTGTGTAAGTTTGTTAGAAAACTTTGCAGGCTCATCCTACACTAAGTGACCTGGAGAGGAAGAAAGTGTGCAGCTTAATGGATTGCCAGAAGCTATCACGGGAGGCATGTGCTCATGCAGCTCAAAATGACCGTCTTCCTGTCCAAACGGTTGTTCAAGTACTCTACTACGAGCAGCAACGCCTTCGCGAGTCCATGAATGAAAGTAATGACGGCAATTTTAACTCCTCCTCAGGAGCCATAATCCCTAGTAAAACTCTGAACCTTTACTCCTCGACTACACCCTCTGCAGATGAGCTCATAAAGCTTAGGCGGGAGAATGAGGACCTGAAAATTGAGCTCCTTAAATTAAAAATGAAGTTGAAGGAAGTTGAGAAACCTAAGAGTATGATTGATAATAATACATCTGTTACTAGCAGTCCTGCAAAAAGTACTACGTCTGCTTCTGATCAGAAGCCGCCTTTGCCTAGAAAGTCTTTTATGACCTCTGTGAAGAAATTAGGGAGGCTTCTTATTCCTGCTGATGGAGGAGTACTCTCAACTCCTCGCCGTGCTAAGGCTAGTAAGGGTCGTCGCCATTCCATCTCTTAAAATTCGATTTACATGGTTTGTCTTGTAGGACTTTTTTGGTAATGTACAGTTTGAGCTCATGATTCAGTTGGTATTTTGAGGATTGAGAAAAAAAACTGCACTTTCTTTTCTTCTTCTGTTTGCTAAATATATTGTTGTGTAGTATAAGTATTTGTATATTATGTGTAAAATTCATCCTATATCATAAACATGATATAATTCAATATTATTAGTATTGCTCTTACAAGTTCTCTTTTCTTCATTTTTGGGTAAATTTCTTCAATCAAACGGACCTACACATGCTCTATTCCTGTTCTACTTCCACACTCTAGCTACGTATATCCAAATAGGTTTCATACTAAAATCAATTGGTGCTTTATATGCACTCGCCGTGCTCGTTCAAATTTGACACTTGATTGCTACATAGGTATTGCTAACGATTTGCGATTCTGGTCATTAAGTAACCATCTACATACTTAGTGCTTGTTTAGTAGGAAGATATTTTCCTTGGAAATAAAATTTCCTAGGCAATAGCTAAAATATGTTGTGTTTGGTTAGAGATTTCCTAGGTATTAAAATTTCCAAGGGTAATGTAAATTCCTACATAGCATGGGAAATAACTCACCAAGCCCCCCCCCCCTAGGTGAGTGAATTCCTACAATGCATAGGAAATTATTTCCTAAAAAGTACTAAATCCCATGATGCCAACCAAACACTTTTTTAGAATTTTTATACAATTAGCAAGGAAAGTTATTTCCCATGGTATATGATTTCACATGAAAAGTTATTTCTCATGTTGAACTAAATAAGCACTTAGTTAGATCACCAATTTCGGAGGTTTGATGGAGTTTAATTGTCTGAACTCCGGAGGAAGCACTCACATTCATCCTCTAATGAGATTTTTTTAACTCCAGCCCAATTTACCGGTCAGAGGAATATTGGGCTGGATGGGCTGGACAGGTAAATTTGTAAGTAATGATCATTCTATTGGGCCTTTAAAAGTAAGCCATCTCATTCAAAAGCCCATCTTATAGCAATTTAGTAATATATAAAAAACAAAAACAGTACTATAATGATCCAATAAGGCAATAAGTATTAATTTGTAGAAATCATTTTTACTAAGTAAAATTGATTTTAATCAGTAATAATAATTTATACTCAGTCAAGATCACTAGAAGGATATAAGAATTTTCTAACATATCATTGCCTGGATAACTAATTTAAATGACTAAAAAATGACAATACAACTATAGTCTATTCTCCGCATTAGAGTACAATAATATAGTATCAATAATAAATGTTGAAAAGTCAAAACAATTAGAAATTACTCAGCTCGTATATCATATACAAAGTATAACAAAAGCTTAATGTGTAAGGACAATTTGAAAAATAATCATGAAAGACAACGACATTTGGACATTTATACTTTTTTCTCTTGACTCTCTTATCATAACTAGACTAGAAAAATTCAAATGTGACTAAACCAAACTATTTGCATTCAAGCTAAATTTTATAAAATTCAGACCGAGTCACCCTAAGTAAGGAGAATAGAATATACCCTTAATCTACGAAATTCGAGATCAATGATTTGGTGGTGGGGGTGTGGTCTTAAAAAGTATTCTTTATACATATGAAATCAAAAAAGGAACTTTTAAGTAAAGATAGAGTAAAATAAATAAAGGACAGGCTAGCAAAGCATGATTCTGGGTCATACATACAATGTAATACTACAGTTGCTTACAGGAAAGTTCTTTCTTTAGGGGAAGAAGATGAGGATACTTCCAAATGATATTTTTCCAAAATTAAACAGAAATCATTAATTAGCTAAATTATGAGGACAGGGCAGAGAGGCCCCGACCCTCCATTGATGGTAGTAGCTGTTGTAATTTAATTAATTCAAGACAAGGAATCTCTTGTTACCATTTGGTGGCAGACACAAAGAATTCAAAATCAACTATTTTTGCAGGATCCAACTACACTCTAACAAGACTACTGTATATTCTATCTTTCAACTACTTATATACTCCCTTTGTTGTTTAGATAATAAACTAAGAGACCTTATCACCTTTGGGGGATTACATGTACTCGTATACATTACTCGCTCTCTTTGTTCTTTTTTGTTTGTCCGGTAATTTTCTTTTAGGTGTTCGATCTATTGATATCGTTCTATTATCTTATTTGGGGAATTTTTCCTTCTGCAATTTCAGCTCCAATCACACACACGCACACACACAATGAGTTTGAATAGCAAATTTAGAATGGATAAATATGAGCGCAGATATGCTTATAAAATTGCAAGGATGTAAAAATGAAATTCCTAGTTCAGAAATTCAATCCTTAAAGAAATGAATTCCAGCAAGCTTTTATTTACAGGTTAGGCATAATGGGTAGAAATTGATGAAGATCTTGGAACCTATCTCATCATACAACTAAACTTGTACACATGAAAACATAGCCAGGATTCAAGGATACAACAACTGACATTATTTGTCCACTTCTGCTGATACCATTTCTAGCCAATTAGCCATAGAATCTTTGCCATTTTTTTGTGCTAAAATCTAGGTCCCATTTAATATCTTGACAAAATCCATTTTCCAAACTGCATAACTAATTCAACATTAGATTTTAAATTGAAAAAAAATCTAAATTTAAACCTATACAGTACTTACTCAATAAAATGTTTTAAACGAGAAATGTGATAACTAAATCCTAACATCAACATTATATGAAGTACGTACATATTCTACAAATATAGGAAGTTTTAACAAGTCTCATGACTAATCTTTCGTAAGATTAACAAGGTTGTCATTTTAATAACAATTTTAAACTTTTTACAAAAGGCCTCTACTAATGCCTGATCAATCTGTCTCCATTAGTCTCAAAAAAAAACTAACAGCAAAAGAGAAAATTGAAAAAAAGGTTAAAAGAAAATTAAAATAAACAAAAGAACAACTCCACACAAAACTACAGACAACTGAACCTAATAAACTCAGTTGGGTTAAGTGAGCTTCAAGCTCAAAGCTTGGTACAACCATGGAGGATTATTATTTTGTTGACTATTAGAGAACCCGGGTTCGATTCCGGAACCCTGAGGAAAACCACCCCATGTCGTCGTCGTCACTGAGCTTCTATTATTAGTATTATTCTTCGGACTCGTTTTTCTAGTCTGGCTTGACCCCGTTGAGGAAGATGATATGCTTTGACCTGACTCCGACTTGCCATTCTTTCGTCGTGTCGGGTTATATGTAGTTGGACCTAAGCTTAGAGTGAGCTCAATCTCATCACCTTCATCTAACACCATTAGTTTATTACTATTGCCGTTAGTTTCTGCAATGTGTTCGTAAGCTTCGGATGGTCTTGGACCGCCGTTGCCTGTTAATAATACTTGATTATCAGGTCGCATTACATTTAATCCCACCATAATGTTGCTGTGGTTGATCTTTGTTTTCGCAATGTTATCTCTCTGTGCTTGTGCTTGTGCTTGTGCTTGTAGAATTAGTTGTTGTTGATAATGATCAATTGTAAAGGCTTTTTGGCTGCTCTCAACCAAAGGGTAACGCTCGAGTTTTTGCGGCTTTTGTTGTTGTTGGTTTACTACTCCAACACTTTCCATTAGCACCTTCTGTATTCGGTATAGACGATGAAGTTCACTCACCTGAAACATCAATAATTTTTAATGTTAATTACATTTGTTGATTATATATTAGTAGTTTACACAAAAATTTAAAGATACAAAGTATGTAAATATTTATTACCTGTTCTCTGAATGTTTCTTCATGCTTTAGCATCGCAATTCGCATAAATTCTTTATCATTATTGGACTTTTGAGTCTCCATTTGTTGAAGGAAGAAAAAAAAAACGATAGTTTTTTAAGAAAACGATTGTAGAATTTTTAGTGGAAGTCTTCTTCCGATCTTGTTCCTGAGAGATGGAGAAAGAAAAATTAGGAAGGAATGAAAAAAAAGAAAGATATAAGATTTTATGACATTTTCTATTTCCCTATTTGATTGGTTTAAGACCAAGCAATATGACAAATTACAACAAAAAAAACTTAGTAGAAAAGATAGTAGGGCATTATTTTGGACCTCTGATGAAAAGGTAATTTGGTGTACCTTAGCTTTTTTTGTACATCTCTATTACTCCATTCATTTCATATCATTTATGTTTTTTACTTACTGATTTGTTTCGTATAATTTGTTACTTAAAATATCAATAGACTATCACTTAACAATTTAAAATACTGATGTGATGTAACTTGTCAAGTTTGAATCTTAACGCAATAACATCAATAACTCCCTTATAAGCTGCGTGCGCAATTCTATATTATGTGTCGTAATGTGATAGGCTATACCCAGAAGAATATTAATGGCCCCTCCAAATAATATCTCTTACCCATCAAATTGTAGGGGCCATATAATACACATCCTAATGAAAGCAAACCTTAGGTGATATGTAGATTTCTAGCCAGTTAGCTAAATTAGATATTTCTGGCAAGTGACATATCATTTTCACCTAGTTTTAATCACACATATACCCATCTCCTTTTTTTCTCTATCACTTTCAAAATCCTGTGACTTTGCATGCTTCTCTACAGTTTTATTTATTGTGGATCTTATTGATTATTCTTTCCTTCACATCAGGAGTACAAATCAAACATACATGAAATTTATAAAACTTTTTAAATTCAATTTTAGAACATAAATAAAATAAAATAAAATTCTTAATTACCTGTAAAATATCTCGGATTTAGATGAGAAGACCAACTATGATTCACTTGAAGATCGATTGATGACGATCTCTCCGTATGTACTGATGGACACTTTATTCCTTGATTAATGCACTGACGACGATTTCCAGTCCTCTCAACAAAAAAAGAGAAAGGATAGGAAGATGATGATAGATGATATGATGAAGAAGCCAAGAATTTTTTTTTTTTTTTTTTTTTTTTCCTTTTTACAAACTCTGAATGTAAGATTTGGTTGAAAGTGAGAGGGATTAGATCACCTGATCTGGAAGTAAATCTTCAAGTATATATATATATAGTAAGAGGAGGAAATAAAAAAGAGAGGGACCAAAAAATAAAAAAGGGAAGAATATATAAATTTCAGATATACTACTGATGATATAGCAGTATATGGTTTATATTTAATAAACTTGGTATGTAGTAGCAAACACAGAAACCTATGAGAATTATTGTTATTGTTGTTGGAGTTTGGTAGTTTTGGGTGTTCCAACTTTTGGCATGCCAAACAAATCCCAGAATAAAACTCTTTAACCAATCTGATTTTAGATTTGTGAGGAGCTAATTAGGAGGAGAGAGAAAATGAAATATAGATGTTATTGACAGTCCCAGTCCCAGCAATTGCTGCAGGCCTTATTATACCCCCTCTATTAAGTCTGATCCTTTATATTATTAGTTTAATTAGTTAATTAATTAATAATACCATGCTCTCCTAGATATACACACTTATTGTAGGACTAGGATTATCACATTATCTACCCCTTTTTTTAATTAATTAATTACGTATATGATATAGTTTTCCTTTTTCTTTGGAGGGCGGTGTTACCACCAGCTAATTAAAGGGTATATTAGAGCCTAAATCATTATTATCATGCATTAATGATATGTATGATGATTCTTGTTACTCGTAAGTCTTAACTAATGGATGAGGGGAAAACCTAAATCATACGGAGTAACATTTTTTTACAAGTAATTTTTAGAACGTGCCAAATCACTAATAAGTAACGAAGTGTCATACAAAAACAAGTAACTAAGGGAAAAATAATTAAGTATTTTACGGTATGGATGATCATGTCAACTATCTTAGCTTAGTTGGTTAAAATCATGTAAAATGATACTTAAAACTTGTGATCAAATCTCATCTACATTATTTGTCCAATTACAAAGTAGAATACATGAATACGCATAGTTTGAAAATGCTCATAACAAAATATTAAAAGACACTAAAAATATAAGAAATAAATAAATATAGAATAATAGTGGAAGAATAATAGAGAGCTCCAGCTTAATTAGCTAAGAAGACGGCCAATTGGAGAATCACATGGAGCCAAGTAATGTATGTAATCTGATACAGTTGGCTGATGACTTAATTAAATAATTAAAATAAATAGTACAAATTAATTTAAATTTTATGATAATCCAAATTAAATCAAGACCAAGTTAGTGGCATCACCCACCGGGCCCGCCGACACATTGATCCTCACCGTACGATCTTTGTGAGTACCTCTTGGAATAGTCCAAAAGTTCTTACTCTAGCCGCAGGATCTTTAACATTAATCTACCAATGGCTTTAATTTATTAATTTGATACCTCTTTAATTAATTACTTAATTAGATGATTAATTAATTAATTATATTGCTGTAAGTTATTGTAAGATGCAACATTTAAGGGAGATCAGATTATTAGGAATAATAAGAGGGGTTAGTGCTTAAATAATGGAGGAGTTATATATATGCATGATCATATTGTATGATGTAATACTATTAATTTTAAAATAGGTGGGTCTAATTGGTTGGATTTTAATCAAATATATCCAAGCACAATGATTGTGGATGTTTAATTGGAGCATGTGGATAGAGTACTAAGAAAATCAATCTAAGATTACATCGCCATGTACTTTCTAACTGGCATACAGCTTATATTAATTATGGTTTTATTCATTAATGTTATTAAGATTATGTAAGTAATATAAAATTATGTTAGTAGTATTTATATTATCAGATTTTCAACTTCAGTAGGGAATATATATGTTCATGTCACTTAGATTTTACATGTATATGCAAAAAGGGGGACATAAGTCTGTAATTGCATTTAAGTTTGTTGACATATGATCACTACATACCTTAATTATGATACACCTTAGTTTTTATATTATGCATGTCAATTATCTATTTATATATTAGAGAGTAAAGAAGAAAAAGCAAATCACTATACTTTGTCTATAAGAAACTTCTCCCCTCTTCAATTTCCTCATAAATAATATTAAGAAAAAGTTTGTCCATTTACCTTGGTTAGTACTAATGACAAGTGGGACGACGAAGCATAATTTAGGGCGTGTAGTAAGCTTATTTTTAAGGTAGGCCTAACTTTGAAATCTTTGTGTCAAATAAAAGCCCTCTTTGCCTTTTTTTTTTATTTTTTTTTTTATTTTTTTTTATCATAGATAGCAAAGCTAAACCTAGAATTATGTCAATTAATTTGGTCAAATATTTACAAATCGAATCCCTTAGCTTTAGGCTATAACCTCTGATCTTAATGTTGTTGTTCTAGAAAAAATGACAATTTTCCATATGTTGCGTCACACACTCAATTGATGGTACAACGTTATCTGTAATAACTTCATTATTAGATAGCTGTCACTAATTTCTCTTATCTATTTTTTTTTGTTACGGAGTAGTATTTCTCAATGGTGCATTAAATTATTTCTCTCTGGTCATTTTAACCCTACTTCATAGTTAGCTTTAGTTTTGCATGATTTCAATATATAATCCATATAAATGTCTCACACTACATTATCAGTCAATTGATGATGCTACTTCGTATAAGAAAATATCAAAAGCGTAACCAATAAAAAGAATAGACATAAGTAAAAAAACATAACCCTTCAAAATGAAACAGTTGCATATAATAATACTATAAATGCACAATGATCAATAAGTAAGATGAATTTTATACTTTAATGCAAGATTTTCCTTACAAAAATATCGTACAAGCTAAGTTGAGCTTATCCAAGATGTTTTATCATAAAAAGATTACTGTAGATTACTAAATCTAGTGAAGACAAATCAAATGTAAAGTACTTCAATTCAGGGAACTCTTGGAAGTCATCGATCACTTAAACTTCAACTTGTTTTTTGCGACTATCTTCAAGTGGTCCTCCAACCTAGCTACCCTAGTATCTACTATTGTACCATACAATTTCTACCCTACTTGTTGAATTTTCAAACCCCCTCCAAACAAACCTAAAAATAAATAAATAAATAAATAAATAATAATTTACTCTCGTATGATTGATAAAAAAAAGGAAAATTAGCAAATTGCAGCCATTTAAAGTTTGTATTTTGCAAATTACAACCATTTAAAAATAAAATTGTAAATTGCAGTCCAAAATTACTAATAAATTGTAAATTGTCACCCAATCAAAATTTTCATCGATTTGCGTGCTAAAAAATATTTCGTCAAGGTTTTAGGCGCCGTTTTAGCCCTCAAGGTTCCAAATTGAGCTCGAAATTGGCAAAAAATTAACATAAGTACTTCGTTTTCACGGCAAAAAATTAGTTGCACACAAATCAATACATTTTTTGATACGCAAAATGAGGCACTTACGATATTTTTTTTGCTAATTTTGAGCTCAATTCGGACCCTTAAGAACTAAAATGAGCCCTAAAACCTATACGAAACATTATTCAGCGCGTAAATCGAAGAAAATTTGATTTAGGTGGCAATTAACAAGTTATTAGTACTTTTGAGCTGCAATTTGCAACTTTTTTCTTAAATGGCTACAATTTGCAAAATACAAAGTTTAAATGGCTGTAAAGCCTGCAATGAGCAAATTTTATAGTTTTGCCAATTTTCAACCAAGAACCTTCAAATCCATAATATTCAATTTGTGTGTAGTATCCCTTTACGAAGAAAAAGAAAATATATCAGAAGGATAATTTTACCTAACTTCCAAACTTATTTTCATTACAGATACATGATATATCTCGTGCATTAACAGGGGTGTATCTATAACAATAATTGAAAAAAATATGAAATTTAATATCCTAGAGTTGTAGTACCAAAAGGATGTTCACATGCATGTAGGGCTTAGCAAGTGCAGATATAGCGGCTATCGAGATAGACGACATGCACGCGTTGCCGGTGGACGGAGGCGCAGGGTGGGGCCGAGGTAGTCCTTTGGGTGGGACTGCGAGTGTGCTGAAAAAGCCTGAGACTCAGCCATAACAAGCTAACCCCTTTTTTATAAAAAGGTTTTTGCTTTGCTTTCTGGTCCCAATATTATGATTTTTCAACTCCCATGAAAAAGGTTTTTATGTGATTAGGAATTATAGGGACCTAGAGGAACCAAATTAAACGACATATTTATCACTTGTGAGTTATGAGGATGACCCCATCCATTTGAAAAGTTGAGGTTGATTTTTAAAGCATAATATAATTTTAATGTTATTTTGTTTCTTGCTTTAATTTGAGAGAGAATCTAGTTATTGTATGTGTGTGTATAGTTACTTGAATCATCATCATAATCACACATTGCTAGCAAGTCTATATATGTAGTACGAGTTTAATTTTGAATTATTTATTGTGAGTGTGTATAGTTAATTGAATCATCATCATAATCAATCACACATTGCTAGCAAGAAAGTCTATATATGTAGTACAAGTATAAGTTGAATTGATCGAGTACACGTATTGAGATTCTATTCTTTTGAGTTGCTGAGCCCTGCTCTACAAAGTATTAATAATCTGCTGTTAATACCTACTCTACTGATCTGCTGAAATCTGCTCTGGTCTGCTCAGAAGGTCAAAAGAACAGGGCCTGAGATTGTATATTGATCATTATCATCAGTTGTTAGTGACACATACATAATAAAGTCGGTTAAATTGGTGCTTTTCTTTTCTTTCTTTCTTTTTTTTTTTTTTAAATATATTGTATGTGAATGGTTTTTAAGTGTTCTACTTGAGCTCTAAGTGGTAGTTTTGTGTTACTTGTGTCATTGTGTGTGTGTGTTTTCTATGACTTCTATCGTGTGTGTAATGTGGTGTTGTGATGGTGGTCTTCAAGTTCTAGGCAAAGGGAGCTGACATATCTGTAGGTCTTTTGCATGTATCTGTAGGGAATACGTTTTATGTGTTTAATACACTTTAATACGATCTCAATTATATAGTATGTATTATAAAAAAAATAATAATAATAAATTTAATAGTAATATGAATTTGGATATAAATTCGACCTTTTTTTTTATGAAACGCGTATAATGTATTCTCACCGAATATATATTGTGTTAAATTTACGGAAAATTTCATCTATTTAGTCACATAAGCATCGCATGCATGCAATATGATTATTTTTCTTGAAAAATAACATAAAAGTCTTTCCTTTGACCAAAAATATATTCTACAATATAATAACTCATCATAATCTCAACTAAAAATTAAAATTAAAGGAATGACATGACAACATTGACAAAAAGAGTGTACATATAAAAGTTTATGAACCTGATTGATTATAAACCTTTAATGAAAATATATCAAATTCTCCCACAATTTTAGAACAAAGTGAAAAGGTTCCGATACCTTTAAATATAATCCATTAAACTAAATCTTAATTAAAAACAAAATA